GTCTGAAAGAACTAAAGGCACAGGGTTTCAGTTCAATGCATCCAGGTGGTTGGAGTGCAGAAAAAAAGGTCTAATTTGGGAGTAATCAGCCTTAAAAGAGCAGTTGAAACAATGGGAGTTGATGACATCATAGTAGATACTGCAAACGCAGGAAAGAGAAGGTCACTTGTATTTAAGGGTGAGCCTGTGCTTAGGGGCCAGCTAAGTGCACAGTACAACAGAAAATCCCCCTTCGAACACCACAGTAATAACCGCTACAGGTAAAATCCACCAGTAACTGCCAAAACTCATGGGCAAAAGCTTAAGGAGAAACAAGATGTATTTATAGAGCCTCAAAGTTTCCCCCCAGAACATTAGTTAACTGCAAAGAGGGAAAACCATAACTGTACAGTGACAATGACTGGCAGACACCCAGTTACCCAGCTGATTCAGGTGAATCTCAGCAGCGATAAGACACAGCGGCACCACGTGCCCCGAGTCGATGCCCTGGGTGGGACACATCACTTCCGTGGAATTCTTGCCACAAATACACAACTTCAGTCTAAATCCCAGCTGAAGGACGCTCAACAAAACACCTGACCAGGGCACCGAAGACAAAGGAAGACGGGATCGGTGGCCGCTTAGCAGAGACGAAGGGGGTGTGACCACTAAACGCAGCGTGGGATTCGCCCACCAGCAGTGGAAAAACTGATGAAAGCTAAATAAAGCTTGTTGTTCAGTTATGCGTATTGTGCCAAAGGTAATTTTTAATAATTTGGTAATTTTTGCATGGTTGCATAAGACACGTCATTACAGGTGACAGGCATGAGGGACTCCCTATCTCTATCACAAGCCTATTAAGCCCAAATTCATCTCAAAATAAAAACTATTGAAAATGAGGCTGGTAGCAGGGAAAACGGCAAAATTGAATCCCTACCTCACAGACTGTACTAAATGACTCCCATTAAGAGCATTTTTTGAATAAAAACATACAAATACTAAAAGAAAATGAGGGAAACAACTTTATAATCTCAGAAGACAGAGGGCTCACATGGCATGAAAACTATGCCCCATAAGTGAAAACACTGATGCATGTGATTATACCAATTTTTTAAAAATCTGCATGGCAAAAAAAACACAATACACAAAGTCACTAGACAAGGGGAAATCTAGAAAAAATACTTCCAAGTAACATCACAAAGGGCTAATATCTTAAAAAATCTTATAAGCGCATAAGGCAAGACTGCAACCTGGTAAACGAGACAGAGCACAGAGGGTCAGAGGATTTTTAGAGCAGTGAGACCACCCTGTGTGACACTGCAGTGGCAGAAACACGCCGCCACGCCTGGGCTGGCACCTGCAGAAGGCGCACCACAACGGCGAAACCCCATGCAGACTGCGGACTTGGGTGGTAATGACCCGTCAACGTAGGTTCATCGGTTTTAACAAATGCACCCCTCTGGCGATAATGGGAGAGGCTGTGCATATGTGCAGGCAGGGGCCACACGGGAAATCTCTGTATCTTCTGCTCAGTTTTTCTGTGAACCTAAAGCTACACTAAAAATAAAGTCTATTTAAAAGTGGGGAAAGCGTAGGGAGGGTAACGCCTATCCTTCAACACACCCGACACCAAAGTCTAAGCATCCAATACAGAAAACTCAACCAGTCAGTACTTAGGATGTACAGCACATCTTCCTCCTAGGAGTTCAAAGGTTTTAATGTAACTCTTTCATTTATGTTCGCAACATTTACATAACTACAGTAATAAAAATAATGTAAAACTGGGGGAAACAATATTGGGGGAAATGAGGTCAAGTCTTACTCAGGTGAATCGCTGGCAGAAATAGGCCTGCAATTCAACTTTCCTTATTAAGTTTCATGTTGTTCTTGAACATATTAAGGCCATTTAACAAAAAACTAAGAGTACCACCCATGGCCTGCTCTTAAGTATGTGTGCGCACATGTGTGCATAGATGCATACATGCGTAAACAATCATATACATGCACACATGCACTCATACATTTATATTTCAGGCTGAGTGCCAGCTTCAGTGACTCGCTTCAACAAAATTTAAGCATAATAATCTGTACGTAATATAATAAACTATATAAATAATCTGCACATAATATAAAAAAGGAATACAAGTGATCATGAGACCATTATAAATAAATTCACATGTCCCTGTAATGCCAAATTTTAGTCTGAGGTAAGTGAGAAAGAACACACTTAAAAAAAAAAATCACAAGTCAAATACACGTGTCACTGTAGCCATTAAAAGGATCTAATTTAAAACTCAAGCATCATCATATCTGGAAGAAGAAATGAGATGCTAATAACAGGCACTGACGTTTACATAAAATTACTATGTAAAGTGGGAGATAGGGACCTAAGGATACAGATGAGGCAACGGTTTGCATTTTAACAGACTAAGCAAAAATGTAATTGACAAAGAAGCGCATCTAAATGAATTTCCAGCTATGCCAACACTAAGCGCAGCTGCATGCCGCCAGCATCAAAGATGAGAAGAAATATCCCCCTAGAGTGGAAAAAACACTTACATGCAGCCAATATGTGATGTTACACATGGTACTGAAGTTACTGCTCATTCAATCTGAAAAGTTTTTTTTTTTTTTAAAAAGTGATTTTTTAACATCAGAATAATCAATTTTCAGTTCCTTTCCATTGATTGGGGAGAAAAGTGTTTGGGGGCCAATGGGAATATGAAAGTGTTTCAGGGAGCAGCGTATGTCATTCCTGGAACTAAGTCAAGGTTAAACACACATGTTTTCAAGGAGCTAATACAATCAAAATTCACTTCAAAGCCACTAAGTAAACCCCACTCAGTATCTTATCAGTGGTGGTTATGAGCTCAAGCGCTGACACCTGTCTTTCTGAGTTCAACTCATAACTCCCCCATTTCTTGCTGCATGACTTCGGGGAGACCACCTAACCACGCTATGCCTCATTCCTGTTACCTTAGTGTAAGGATAACAGCACCTACCTGTGGGCTCACTGCCAGGACTGAATGTGTTCATACAAGCAAGTCACATGCTCAGAAACTGTGAGCTATCATTAGCCCCACTCACGACAGCCATCTCTCAGAGGAAGCACCTTTTTGTGCTAAAAAAAAAAAAAAACCAGCAAAGAAGATGGTAGCAAGCCTGCTATGATTTTGCTCACTCATGGATGTGAAATACTGTCACTTCCCACCTCTCACACCCTCCCCTTGGTGGACAGAAATTATGGGAACAGCTCTGGCCACTTCTCAGTAAAGATCGGTTCTGGACAGCATGCTGCCTGAAGCAGCCCTCCCCCGGTAGGTGTTGAACAAATGCTTCTGGAAATGAGTGGGGAGTTAAGCCCCGGCAGCCTCAGAACGTGCTTTGAGATCTTGTCACATTTTCCTGCAAGACCAAAGGGATGGTCTGGTGACTGGCCATGCACCTAACTTTGCATCTGATCTCTGTCCAGATCCTTCAGAATATCCCACCCAATGTTTTATTTACCCTTGTATTTCCCAAGGTCTTGAAAAGGACAGGGCAGCAAAATCAGAGGTGATGCAGAAAGATCTCATGTTCTTTCTTCTCCTTTAATTTACTGGAAGTCTAACATCTGAATAGGAGGAAAAAGGCCAAGTCTACAGGCGTCCTGGCACGGTGACAAGTCATCGAAAGGAGATGTGAATTCCCACAAAATAAACACAGCAAACCCAAGGTCCTCTGCAGCTTCTCAAGTCCAGTCCTACTGTGACTGGCCTGGCCTCCTGCCAAGGGATAAAGGCAAGGAAAATGTGAGAACGACGCAAGTGACCCTCAGCCTTGAATCTAGTTCCAGAGGAGGACAGGAGGGCTTGCCTGGGCCCACACAGGGCAGAAAAACCTGAGCCGTCTTCCTGCAGAGATGAAGGGGTGTTCCCCACTACCTACAAGAGAGGAAGGACATGGCACACATGGCACTCCTCCAAGATCCAGTAAGACAGGAGGGCTGGGCAGACGCAGCTGGGGTCAAGACGAATGCAGGGTGAAACCAAGCACTTGAAACCCGCCAACCCTCCCTGCCCACAGGCATTACTGCATCAGGACCTAGAGCCCTCCGACTCAGCAAAACCTACTCTCTCAACGGGATCAGCTATCCGCATTCACACCATAGCATGTATTTGATTGCAGCTGTTTCTCTCCAAGTCATTTTACTCTGCATGTGATTTCTAAGGCGATTTAGAGGCTTTATGTCCTACTCCCACGGAGAAGGTACCGAGACAAGAGTAGCTCAGAGCAGGAGATCTCCTCTGCTTGCACAAGACACCAGGACTCTTAGGCAGTGCACCCCAACAGTCCTATTTCCACAGGAGATATCTAAAACAGATTTTTACTGTTAACCCAAACTGGACTTGAAAAACTAAACCAAACACATTAATTCCTTTAAATATCCTCGAATGTCATAGAAAGACAACAATCCTTTGAAGAAAGCATCCTATTGGAAAGAAAAGCCAGAAAACTTAATCTGGGGTCCCGCATTCCTATTAACTCACCATATAACCACAGACATATCACTTGAATTTTCTGGGCCTTGGGCTTCAGTGATAAAAATAGCAGGTTGGATACCTACCTAAGGCTCCTTTTCACACTAAAATTTCAGGATTTCAGTTCACCTCCTGATAGCAAAAGTTCAATCTGCATCCAGAAATGAGTAAAATGAATATGAACTATGTGATTAAAGGTACAAAAATGGCCTTTTATAATTAATGTAGCATGAGTGTGAGAAAAAAACACAGTGAATTCTACAGAATTAAAACATTTTTTCTCACGCCCATCATTCATAGGCTACCTGACCTAATACCATTAAGTTTTTTTTTTTTCCTTTTACTCTACAGTACAGCCCAGCATACTCTAAAACATGAGAGACTCACAGCAGCCACAAGGCTCAATGATGCCTCTTGGAGATCAAGAAGGAGACGGCTGGGACAGCGTGGAAAGCTGAGAGCTCTCCCCCTGGGTCACCTGGGTCATTTCAGAGCGCTCACCTTCCACCAGTTGGTCCAGGCCGGAAATCTTCTTGAGCCCATCGATGGTGTAGATGGTTCTCACTCCCTGGGGCAAGTTCACGTTATCCGACAGAGTTCGGGTCAGGTCGGCCAGCAGGGCCTCGAAGGAGCGGAAGCGGTCCGGGGAGATGGCATACACAATGCCTTTGAAGTACCGGTCTCCGTTCCGGTAGAAGCGCACTTTCTTGGCCTTCTTCTCCGAGCTGAGGGTCTGCAGCGTGCGGGTTCGGTAAAAGCTGCAGTGGGCGCTGTGCGTGGGGCTGGGCAGCCCGTTCACCCGCGACCCTCTGCTGTACCTCTGCGCCTTGTCCCGCTCATCAAAGTGCTCCAGCTCCATGTTTCTGCCGAGGGACATGACGGGGTCAAAGTTGAACCTATGAGGCAGAAAAAGGCCAAACAGAGAAGCATCTGAGGTTATTTTAGGACCGTGATTTGAAAGGCCAGCTTGAGAACAGCTGGTGGAAATACTGCCATATCGGAAGATATATTTAATATGAGTTATCAAGTTGGAAAGGAAGTTGAGTTATCAAGCTGAGAGAAGAAAGACACTAAAGAAACAGAAGAGGCGGCCCCAGTGGTTAACAACTTACTGATCAACCCTTTTGGTTAGAAACAGCTCCTGTGTATTGGCCACTTGCAAGCTCTGAGCAGCTATTATTTCTGAGGACTGCAACACACATTTTGAACTATTACCACTCCTACTTCCAGATGCAGAAACTGAGGCACAGAAAATGTTCTCCTCGATTTCACTAAGTAAATTTGAAAAATGCTTGTACCAAGAACTCCCACCCGGGTTGGCCGACCCCAAAGCCCACGGCTCCCTGCAGTGGGCAGATTGTGGAGGCAGGTAGGAAAGAAACGTCCACATGGCTGTAGGGCTAAGGAGAGGCAGCAGTGGTGGGCCAAGAAACAGGAGCCCCGAACCGTCAGACTATCACCGCTTCCCATTTATGGTGTCCGTGCTCCCCACGGCCGGACAGAGAATAGGCTGAGAGACCGGTAGGTTCTACCAACTTAAGGAGGATTTCCCAACATGCTCACATGTCGGTAGATAACTTCTTAAAGCCACCATTACTCTTTTACTTACATTTAGTGCTTCAGATAAATTGGGTTAAAAAAAGAATAAGAAGGAGGCAGAGGAAAGAAAGACCCCCACCCCAAAGGGAGAGCAGTCGCTTCCTCTTTGGAGGTTTTGCCTTTCCTCCCACAAGTCTCTCTCTGTCTTTGTGGTTGAGGAAATTGAGGCTTCAGATGTTGAGCAAGTAACATTTCTCAAGGTCACAACGCTAGTACAAGGTCAAGCCCAGATCAACTCCTGTAAGCCTCACTTTCCTCAGAGCCACGCAGGGGAATGCTAATCGCACCTACCTCATACCTACTGGTAAGTATTAATACATAAGGCACTTAAAGATAGTGTCCAGCATGTGATACGTATTATATATTTTATGAATAAGATCTGCCTTTCTGTTCCTGATGCTGCACAGAATTTCCCCCTTCTGGAGAGGGAGGCTCTTGCTCAGTGGACACCTACTCCCCTCCCCTGGTCCCCATTTTACTTTCGACGGAGCCTGGTTATCAGTGAGCTGCCTGTGGGATCAGTGTATCCTTGCTAAGGAGTTAGCTGAGAAAGGCTTGTGGGGTTGCCCCCTGCAAGGGGATCCAGGTTTGAACAGGACAGTCTGGAAAGTGGAAAAACAAACCTCAGAAACCCAAGAAAGTTTTAATGACACCATCTCAGGCGTGTTGAAATAGAAAATAAGGGAGATGGAAAATTTGGGGCAAGAATCTTACTAATGCTCCCCAAGTCCCTCCATGTAGACAATGTCAAGGTCAATTCAAACTAACCAAACCTACTGCCACCAAGCCTCCCTGACCTCTCCGTGGCCCCCTGATAAACTGACCTCTGACCCACCCAGAGTGGCTAAAAATCCATGCCCCGAAGCACACTACCGATTATGTACTGAAATGCATGGAGTGGCGGAGGCTACTATTTATTGAATACCTTTGTTGGGCCTGACATTATTACTCAGCAATCAGTCACTGTGTAATATGCTAAACACTGTCTTCTATGATGACCCAGCAAGCTGGGTAATATTACTGTGCCTGAGGGTGGGCACAAAATATATCCAGGGTCCCAAAGTCCTCATGAAGGCAGTTTAGATTTGAACCCAAATTCACTCCAACTCTGAAGCTGGCACTCCCTCCTTCCCACACCACACCCTACTGTTCTAGGGGCCTTACCCCCCTGAGGCTGTGAAGTAGGGCTTTGAAAGCCCTCAAGCTACCCAGCCCTGCAACCTTGGACAGGCCAATTAACTGCTAAGGCTCTGTCTACAGATAGAGGAGGCAGTGGTGGCCAGGCCTCTAACAGCCTCACCTGCTCATGATCCCACAGCTGACCCCACAGCGGGCAGGGCGAGCGGCAGAGCGTGATTTAAATCTGCAGTGCTTACGAGCTCAGTGCATTTCTTCCCTCCAAATATGAAACTTACCACCTGCCTCTTGGTAACTCCTAATAGTCTAAATGTGCATTTTCCAGAAAAAGTTATACCATATATAGGTAGGTGTGAATGGGTTTCATTGGTTTTGAAGTTAGATAGTAATTTGAAGTTAAAATAATTATCATGTGACATCCAGTCCTTCAGGCAGCTATTAACTGAGTGATAGAACCAATATTTTGCCCATGATCTCACAACTGCTCCTACTTTTTGATGCATTTGATTCTGAAAGGAGCTCTTTCGCCTCCCAAAGGGGTATATATGTTGTTTCTGCCAATATCGTGCCAACTTCATCCGCACTTCAGACTTTGCAAACTATAAAGGCCAAACTGGTTTTTGAAGGCTTGGTTTGAATTTTAAAAGCAGTGATCACTTTCCCAACCCTAGGGGTTTCCTCCCACACCTGCACAAACCAGAAGAAAACAAGCGGGAGGGCAGCACGGGACAGCACAGTTGTGTCACCAGAGGACAAATCTAGTTCCAAGGGGCTCTTGTGGACTCAGATTTGCAAAGGCCAAATCATTTAGCAACCGTTGGCCTTCTCTAGCGGAAACAGGCTTTTAGAACCAAGAATTCCACACCGAATGAAAAAAAGAAGATCAATTTAAAAGGAGGGAACGTTGCTTTTGTTGATTTTATTTGTGTATTTCCTCACACCGGATCATGTGCTCACCTCCCTCTGTGACTTCCCTTCACCCAGCCTGCCCCAAAGTGGCCAATGATGTTGTAGACAAAGAAAACCCACACTCGAGTCAAACCAGCTACCACTAAATATGCCTGTCAGAAACGACACCACACACCTAGTGTTCCGGTAAGTATGTGCCGCCTCAAAATAGGTGTCTTTTCCCTATGCTTTGGTTGGCTCGGCTCTTCCCTGGGTTAGTTAGTTACATATCTGAACCAAGCGCTCCTGCAGATTTCCTGGGCTTGCACAGGCTCCTAATTTCTACACAGGAAACCGGATAAAGCACGCCAGCCACATGCTCACAGACCACAGGCGGCCAAGGGACCAGCACACATGTATGATGGCACCAAAGAGTAACCACGCCACCCTAGCCAGAGCTCACAGACGCTTGGGTGGGGAGCAAGGGGCCCGGCTTTTCCAGAGATTTTCCTACCCACACTGCCATGCCAAGAAATCAGCAACCTCAATTGTTCTCTGTGGGATTTCTCTCCATTTTCAGGAGCCTCTGTGTTCATCATTCCCTAGAAGAGCACATGAGTTCCTGTTCCAGAGATTTACACACACACACACACACACACACACTAAGAAATAATTCAGCAGAAATGCTACCATCTAAATAGATGCTGGACCTGGAGGTCCCAACGCGTATTTTGCCGGTGGTACTAGGATGCAGGCGGGCGGGCAGGCGTGGAGAAAGAGGCACACACATGCCTTCAGAGGGCATGCACCACCTGGACACAGATATCACAGGATGTATTTTTTATCATGTGCTACATATAACCCTCTTAAATTCCCTTGTGATCCGCATTCATGTGACATTTCATACTTAAAACGATGTCCTACTTTCCCTTCCCGTTGAAAGGAGATATATTTAAGAGCATTCCTAAAAGGTTTTCACGGAACACCCTGCGGAGGGGCCGCTGGGCGCGTGAGCACCAGAACGTGGACACACATTCACAGGTGCGGAGGGAGGGGCCGGGCCGAATGAAAGCCTTCATGTGCCCCATCTCCGACCCTCACCTCCCTGCCAAACCAGCAACGCCTGCGCGCAAACCTGGTTCTCCAAAGCAGCCTCTTTTGTGGGGCAGGGCAGGGCTGTGCGTGCGCTCCCACTAGCAGGAAAAGGCCATTTCCTCTCCGCAGCCTTTGGGCGCTGCAGGTACTCATTCGTCCATGAGGCTGCCTCGTGGCCCCCGAAGGAACTTGAGACCCGCACACGTACTCGGACACCCACTCCCCGGCCCCCTGCCCCGCACAGCGCGTCCCGTCCTCGGGCGCACACACAATAAGGGACCTGGCCGGCCGCTCTTGGACGCAGACTTGGTCCCCGCTCGGCGCGCGGCTCGCACAACGACGAGCCCCCGGCCCTGCTCTCCGTCGCCGCCACCAGCCCCGCCGGGACCCGGGGGCCCGCGCGTCCGACTCCCAGACAAAAGGGGCAGGTGCCCGCAGCCCCCGGGGTCCCGGCCCACCGGCCCGGCTGGAGCGCGGCGCCTCCCGAGGAGCGGCGGGCGGAGGGCGAGGAGCCTCCCCGGCCGGCCTCCCGCAGGCCCCCACCCCGCGCCCCCCAGGGTCGGCTCCCCACGCACCGCTCTGCGGAGACGCCGCCGCTGTCTGTGGCCGCGCGGGGCCGCGTCTCGGGCTGTCCTCGCCGGCGGGGCGCGGCCGGGGCTGCGGGGCGGGGCTGCGGCCGCTGCGGGGCCGGGGCCGGGCTGCCTCCGCTGCTGCCCGCACGCGCCTGGGCCGGGCCTCGGGGACGGCGGCGCTGCGCGCGGTCCTGCAGCCGCGCTCCCGAGCTGGGCGGCGGCGCCGGGCGCGCGCCCCCTCCTGCGGCTCCCGCGGCCACCGCCTCCTCCGCGAGCGCGCGCCCGGCGCCCCCGCCCCTCCCGGCAGGGCGCCCCCGCCCCCTGCCCCCCGCCTCCCGCCTCCCGCGCGCGCCCCGCCGCCGCCTCCGCGCAGCCGCCCGCGGCAACGCGCCGGGCCCCCCAGCCCCAGGGGCGCGTGTCTGGGGCGGCGGGCAGATGGCGCGGGGGGCCTGGGGACCCAGGAGGGGGGCGTGGCGGGGCCCGGTCTGGCCCGGAGCGGCGCCAGGTGGGGAGGCGAGGTGTGCCCAGCGCTGAGGCCCCCACCCTAGGCGGAGGCCGGGGAAACAGTTCCTTCTTCCTCCCCCCATGCTGTGATGTGAACCCCCTCCCCGGATGTGTGTGTTTGACGCCCTTCCCGGATTATGGAAGCCACAGTGATGGCCCTCCCGTCGCATCTGGCCCAAAATGCATCCACTCAGTGCCCCCCCCCCCCCGCAGGACCAGCCCCGGGGCTTCCCCATCTGTGCCCTCCGGGGTCACCCTCAGCCCCCCTGATTGGGAAGGGCCAGATCTCATAGCTCCCACCATCATCCCATTAGCCCCCAAGACATGAGTCACCCTTGAAATACTGACCCCTGCTTGGAGCCAAATAATGTCACAATACGCCCTAACCTAAGGGCCGGGTTTCAGCTCCTGGACACCTCGTGGCGGCCAAGGCCGGCGGTCAGCACTGGAAAGCCCCATGAGCTCACACACGCCTTCCCTCCTAGAATGTTCTCAGGGCCCAAGCTGCTGCTCACTGCTGCTTCCTCCAGGCTTTGCACAAAAGTCCGGGGAGTGCGAGGTGCAAGACTTCCGAGAAACCTTAGCCTGGTTCAGTTCAATTAAGGCCTAGTTAACCCCCTTGCAGCCATGTTGCTTGAGACATGGATTTGTCCCAAATGTGTGTTTTTCTCCCTTCCTGAGCTTGCACCTTTCAATGGAAAATAAAAAATAAAAATAAAATTCTCTTGCCTGCTGAGCCCAAGTATGTATTTGACTACTTATTATTAATGAACTATTCAAAATACTTCCACAGTATTATGTAAATATGAAATCATTACCCTTTTTTATAAAAATGCAGCTCAGATGAGATGCATGTTACATATTCAACAAGTAGCTACAATATTTACTTTTGAACTATTTAATAGCCCAGGGATGAGAGTACAATGAACTCACCAAATTAACTAAATGCAAAGTACCGACCCAGCCAGCTCCTTCAAATTCTGATACAAAAGGAAGGCTAAAGGGTATGTGTAGTGAAAGTAAGGAGCTGAGGGTATTTTTCTTAAGAAGGGAAATCAGAGCTTCTGTTTATCTTTCCAGTGACAAAAGCCAAGTGATTTCTGCCAAAAAGCTAAACCAAGAAATAAATTCCATCTCCTAACCCCTATGGATATTCTATCAGGGTTATTTCTTACACTCTTTGTGTAATTCAACCAAGTCTTACCTCTCTCCTAGGGCATGCAGATAATGTATTCAAACACCCTTGAATTTGACTCTCAGTTGCCAAGTGCTGACTCTAGAAAACAGTTGGGCCTCATTAACCCTTTCAGGAAACCAAAGGGCACTGATAATTAAGTAGATGGGCACACTCAATTGTACCAAAAGGTCACCCCATTATGGTCATATTTAGTCCCAGCAGGCTGGCACTCAATGGCACCCCGTGATGGACAGAAGTAATTACAGAAGTGCCTGAGCTACTTCCAGAAAATTTAATGAAATTCAACCAGGAAACTCCTAATTCAAGCAATTTCCAAAAACCGATACTACTTCCTCTACATCATCAGGATACTGATCCAAGAAATGACTGTTAATGCATCTCTTTTCCCACAAAAATCTGAAGGTAACAGAGATCTCACTCTAGCCCCGGAAGCTACTGCTGTTTAAGCTGTGCTCCCCAATCGCTCCAAGAAGCCACAGCTCTGCACCCTGCCCGATGACAGTGGCTGGGACACAGCTCTGTTACTGGCTCCTATTAACTGAGCCTGTTTGGCTGTGCTGGGGGACTTTTATACATTTTCCTATTTCATCCTCACAGGAATGGTTCAAGGTACACAAATTGTCCTCACCTTATCAATGAAACAATTGAGGCGTAGGGAAGTTGTATCATGTTTTCATAGTGATACAGCAAAAAAAATGTTGAGCCCAACCCCAGTTTTAAAATCCCCCATGTTTTAGTATTTAAATCAGTGTTCTGATCGCTTTGGCCATATGCTTATAAAGCAATACGAAATTCTACTGGGAAGTCTCATTTGGAAAATGCAATCTTTTAATCACTGAACTTACTATTTCCTAAGAGAGAGAGAACAACTCTTTGCTGTTGCGAATGCCGCTTCCTCGGTGATTGATGGCTACCATCAAATGTATCTACTCTGACCGAAACTTTCCATGAGAACATTTGAACTTCAGCCTCTGACACAAGGTTGGTGGACAATCTTATCCATAGGCACTATTGCTTTCTGAAAGTATTTCAGGTGCAAACAAGGAAAAGAAAGAAAACTTACGAAGAAATATTTGTTAATCAACATGTATCTCTTTTCAGGCACATTTTATTGGCTTCTTCATAGAAAATAAGCTCAATCATGTGGATTCAAAGAGAATTATAGAATAAGGAATATTCGCAGGAAGAGATGCACTTCCTGTTTCTCCCCTGAGGCAAAATTTACCCCAGCTCATTGATAGTCTCTCTCTAGGCCTCCTCTGGGGCAAAGGGCATGACTGCCGCGCTCCTGGGCTGGGGTACAAAGCATAGTTAGTGGCCACCGCAATTGTGAGGAATAGCTTTATAGAATATGGTCATCACTCCAGTTTTCTTTTGTAGTTCTTCCTATATGTAAAGGCTCTTTACGCTATTTTCCACATCTTTTTTTAATTGCCCCTGATTACAGAACACTTACTTCTGCCTTCTGCTGATGGCAGAAACTCAGGGAGAAGGGACCTTGACAGCCGCTCCAGTTTTTACCCCATGCATGAATTAGTTCCCTCCACAAGTGGACTTTCAGCCTCTACTCCGTTGCTTCTAAAGGGGGCACATGGGGCAAAAGTGAAGAGAAACAAGATTATCTTCAGATCTGGGAATTCTAGACATAATGGGTGAGATTTTTTTAACTGACCTTTCACTCTGGCTTGGCACCCCCAACATGGCAGGGGTCCAAACTACAAAGGGCGGCTCTCACCCACCCCGGCATGCCCTCCCCAGGCCAACAGAGCGCGTCCCGGAGCGCATCTGTCCCTTTCCCGTCTAAGGGTCATGTCCTCTGGGGGACGGGAACTTGGCAGAGCCCATTCCACTGCTGGGCAGTTCCTCAAATTCAACTGAGACCCACTTCCCCTGTTGGAACTTCTTTTCTCTCTAGATCTAGAGAGAGCAAGTCTAGTGGCCATGCCTTTTACCTGACAGCCCCATTCTGCCAAATTCTACTCCTCATCAACTCGGAAACCCCAGTCCTTCCACTGTTTCTCCTATGGTTGGGAATTGCCCAGACAGGCGCAGCTGGCAGTACCTCCCTCAACACCTGCTCCTTAGAGCTGAACAGTGGTCTGGCTGGAGAAGCCACCTGACTCCAGCTGTTCTCAACACGCGTCTATTAAAGGAGCCTTCTGCCCACTCAGACATGCCACACTGTGACTCCTCTGGTCGATTAAAATCTCCATGCATGTCGCGTGTTTGTTCTTAAGGTCCCTTATTCTGTGTTTGTTCACTTCAATTCAGGGGACCCAAGTCCAGCGGTCTGTTTTCCCTTGTTACTGTGTTGTTACCTGATCCTCCATTCCAGCCTGTTGAGCGAGACCCTTTTGGACACCTGATGTCACGATCCTCCAGCTTCCCATCAGTGTGATGAGCACGACACAAGCCACCTCAACAGGCTCCACCAGCTCACTACCTATGATCTCTCTCCAGGTTAACTGACAGCAAATAACTCTCTCAGTGTACTTGAATAATTACAGGGGTTCACGTGGTCTCTATAGCAAATAAATATGTAGAGAACCTGTGATACCTAAAATCTGTATCTTGACAACTTGGATTGTATCTGTGACTTCGATTCCATTTTACATTCATTCATCCATTCAACCAATAAATAACTTTCCAGTGTCTCTGCAATGTGTTTTTTCACATACAACAGTAATAGTATTATCCACAGCAGTATGAACAGTATTGTAACTCCTTTCCGGGTCCCAGACCTGATTCCAGTGTGTGTGTGTGACAGGGGCAGGGGGAGTGACTTCCCACACATAACAAACACCAAGCAATCCTCACACACCAGCAGATGTGGGCCTTGTCCTACAAGACCTTCCTCCACCCCCGCAACACTCCAGACGGGTCACAAGCCCCAGGCTATTCCCTGTACTCCCGACCTACCGGCTACAGATCGGGGGTTCTCACGACCTCCGCTTAGGGTTGATTCATGTGCTAGAGCACTTCACATAACTCAGGGAAACACTCAACATTTACCAGTTTAATAAAGGAAACAGTAAAGAACACAGGTTAACAGCCAGATGAAGGGATACACAGGGCAAGGTCCCAAATAAAGGAGCTTCTGGCCTTGTGGAGCTTGTGGCCTGGCTCCGTGGCAGGTGGTGGCGTTCCGGTTCCCCATGCATAGCAGCTCTCTGCCATAGAGAAGAGGAACCCAGCCAAACGGCCGTAAGATCTTCTCATGGGTTTTGTGCAGGCTTCATCGCATAGTCACAAGTGACTAAATCATTGGCCATCGGCTGATTCAGCCTCCAGCCCCCGCCCTTGGGTGGGGGCCCAAAAGTCTCTCATTAACATAACAAGACACCCATGTCACCTTTAAGACTGCACTGTTTTCCAGAACTGCAGATGAAGACCACATACACCTGGGAAACATATGTTTGGTCATCTGAAGGGCCAAATACA